CGCGGATGTTAGTGCATGCGGCTCTAAGTTGGTATTCCCTGGTAGTGGTGTACCGAAGAAGGGGATGGAAATTTTCTCTTTCTCCTCCCCCCCCCCCAGAATGTGTAGCGAAATTTTTGGAAGTTACGCCTTTCCCGAACGAAAATCCAGGGTACGCCACTGAAGGTCAGGGATGTGGGTGTAGGAGTAAAGCATGCGCACAATTACTAAAACATGATCAAGAGCTATGTAGCATCCATTAATTGTTTCGAAAAACTGCTCTGTAAAGTATGTCAGTATTTTGCACTGACATGCCCACGGAAAAAAATTGAAAATGTCAAGCTGACTCGTCAACTTGAGAGAAGTCACTGGCAAGAGAAGTCATGACAAGGAGGCAGAAAAAAGTCAGAGCAAACTGTATTTTCCCTACCCATACCACTGCTTGAATTTCACCGCGAAGGACGATCAGGAAAATCAAATTTCAAACCCAAGATTGCGCATTAATTTGTCAGCAGAAAGAAAACTTTTGTTTAAAATTTGTAGCCAAGTCAAGAAGATGAGAGGGAATTAATGTTACGTTGTCTCATAAGTTTTTTTCAATTTTGACTTTTGACTGCAATAAGTCATAAATTTTTCAGTACTAACTAGGAATCAGGGAACCATTTGATAAAGTAAAGCAAGCTCTAAAATGACATGTAAGCGTACGCAGCTTAGTACACCTTGAGTTAGAAGCCAAAATTTAAAAAGTTGTGGATGTTCAAAAAATTGAAGAAAAATTTGTATCTTTGTTCAAAAGAAACTTATAGGAGTTCCCAGCTCAAGCGTATACGCTCCACATCAGACTTCCATATATGCCTTTGCTGTATATTTCTCCTAAGCTAAGAAATCGAGGAAACGAAAATTTTCATGTTTTTGGAAAAGCGACGCTGCGCTATTTCCACATAAGTACATGTATACTACTACAAACCTTAAGAAGTATAGTCGCAAATGTTTAGCTTTCTAGAAGCTCTAGTTTCAGAGAATAAAATGATTTCAACATCAACGACTCAAGCAACAAAAGCTAAATTTGATATTTCTCGAAAACTAGCGCTTGCGGTAAGCCGAAATTCCACGATTATAATTCAAAGGCTTGTAGTGTACGTTTACTCGTTTGGGAACAGCACAGTGTCTTTTTTTCAAAAAATGAAAATTCTCGTTTTTTTCGTTTTCTAGCTTAGAAAAAATGCAGCAAAGGCATATATGAATGATTAATGTGAAGGCGTGAGCTAGTGGGGAATCATATAAGTTCCTTTTTAACAGATATATGAATTTTTTCAAATTTTTGAGCATCCAGAACCTATAAGATTTTGGCTTCTAGCTCGAGGTGTACTAAAGCTGTTGCGTACTATCACATGCCATATTACAGAGCTTGCTTTGCTCAATCGAATGATACCCTGGTTCTCAAATAGAATTGAGAAGACAAGTTAGTGCAGTCAGCAATCAAATTTGAAAAAACTTATGAGGCAACCTGATTAAGCGACATTTTTATACATGGGTTAGTTTACTTTTTTTTTACTTTTTTTAGCCTTGCATTGTTCATATGCGGGGTCAGCCACTCTTATTAGTCTCCTCCATGTTTCACGGTCTAATGCTTGACGTTCATCTTTTCCAAGCTCTCTCATACCTGTCTTGACTTTGTCTGTCCATCGCAACTTGGGTCTTCCTCTTGGTCGTCTGCCGGGGACCTCTACTGACGTCGCTAGTCTGGCGATGTGTTCTTCCTCTCGCCTTCTGACATAGCCGTACCATCTAAGCCTCCTTTTTTGCAGTTTCTTAGTTATTGGGGCCACTTTCATCATTGTTCGAGTGGTATCACTAGTGACGTGATCGAGCAGCGTAACACCCATCGTCCATCGTAGCATGCCTGTCTCCATCACTCCAAGCTTTCGTTCATCCTTACGTGTGCACGGCCAACACTCACTTCCATAGCGGTTGGGTACATCTGGGATTTCAGCTTGAGCGGCATCCGTTTATCACATAGCGCTTCTGTGAGACTTCTCCATTTAAGCCATGCTGCGTTTATACGACTGGTTATTTCGTCTTCGAGCGTGACATCTGCCGCGATGCGACTTCCTAGATATTTGAAGGACGTGGTCTTCTTGATCTGCGTGCCTGCAATCTGGATCGTCTCTGGCGTTTGAAGTCCCAGCTTCATGTATTCTGTCTTGGCGGTGTTGATCTTCAGACCGTGTAGTTCGAGCTGTTCTTTCCATATTGCTACGTCCGTTTCTAATTCTTCCTGCTTTTGCCATCAGGAGCACACCATTTGCGTACATGACGGTCCAAGGAGGTGGATTTGCGAAGCTTCTGATTATCTTGTCCATCACTGTGATGAAGAGTAGAGGAAAGAGTCCGAATCCTCGATCTACACGCACTTCTATGTGGTAGTCTTCTGTACTTCTTGCTGCTGTTCTTACGTAGCTGGTGGCATCCTTGTATATCATTCTGATCCACCGACATATTCTTCTGGTACCTCGTGCTTTTGCAGTGCCCACCATATTACGTAGTGTTCTACTCTGTCGAATGCCTTCTCAAGATCCAGAAATGCCGCGTGGAGCTCACATTGCTTTTCTCTGCTTCTCTCCATCATCATTCTGACGGTAAATGGCATCTGTCTACTGCATCCTTTCACGAATTCGCACTGTTGGAGGCCAGTATCACGATACTTCAAACTCGCATCTCTAGTATTTCGAAGACCTTCAGCGTGTGGCACATGCGACGAATAAGTTGGTAGGTGGAGCAGTCAGCTACATCGCCTTTATTCTTCCATATCGGTACCGTCGTGCTTCTGTGTCAATCATCTGGGATATTCTCGACTATCTGATTCAGAAGAGGCGTTAGCCACTCCAGCCTGTCCACAATACTTCCAAAACTCGCTGGGGATGTCGTCGGAGCCTGTCGCCTTGCCGTACTCTGTCTTCATTATGGCGGTACGGACTTCATTTTCCCTGATTGCTGGTACTGGTACATTCACGGGTTCGGATATTGTGATGGACGCAAATTCGTTGCTAGCTGACGCCATCTTTGCGAAGTGCTCTCCCCATCTTTCATTGATCTCCTGCGGCTTCCTCAGAATTCTTCCGTGCGCGTCCTTGATGTGGTAGAAGTGTTCAACGTCTTTTGCAGCATTTGCTCTTCTTCTAGCGATCCGATAGACTTTTCGTTCACCTTCGCGAGTACGCAATTTGCCATACAGTTCTGCTACGTATGCTTCTTTTGCTTCTCTGACTCTCTTCTTGGCTTCACTTTCGCTTCTAAGTACTCCTGGTGCGCATCTTCTGTCCTTGCCTTTTTCCATGCTCTATGCGCCATCTTCTTGCTCTTTATCACTAGCTGCACTTCATCGTTCCACCACCACGTTTCCTTGTCAAGCTTCCTTCTTCTTGGCTTCGTGCGCCCAAGTAGATCGTCAGCTACCTGATGGATGTAGTTCTTCAGAATCGTCCATGAATGGTTTGGATCACTTCCCAGTTCTGACAAGGCAGATTCCATTAGCGTTCTTGTACGGGCGTCTTCTTGAGCTTCCACCACTTGATGCGCACTCCAGTTTCTGTCGTAGCCCTCCTTTTCCTGTCTATTAGTATGTTGAGATTTAGCATTACTGGCCGATGCTGTGGCACGCAATCTTCATCTGAGATGACTTTGCTGTCTTTTACGTACTTCATCTCGTTGTACCGTACACTCCAGAAGTCTATCTGCGATTTGCGTCCTTCACTGGCATATGTGACGAGATGATTGGTCTTCTTGATGAAATATGTGTTTGCCAAGGCTAAGTCATGAGCTGTGGCGAATTCCAGGATACGTTCTCCTTCATCATTACGCGTTCCGTCCCCGTGATTGCCGTGGCACTTCTGTAGGCCGCTCCGTTGTTCTCCTACGTGCCCATTGAGATCTGCACCGATGAGAAGCATCTTTTCATGTGGTATCGAGCTGACGTAGTCATCAAGCAATTGCCAGAATTCCTCCTTCTCCGCTTCTTCGCAGCCTGCTTGTGGTGCATAGGCCGTTATTATTCGGAGTATCTCTTCCCGGTATCTAGTCTTATACCCATGAGACGATTGCTCAGTCGATCTGCAGCCATGATTCTGTTCCTCAACGCTTCAGAGACGACTATACCGACACCGTTCCCGTTGTTGTTCGTTCCTTTGTACAGAAGTTTGTAACGATCTCCGATATCCCGTGCCCTTTCACCTTTCCATCTGGTCTCCTGAATACAAGCAACGTCTACTTTACGTTTTCTAAGAAGATCGGCAAGTTCGCGATGTCGAGATGTGAGAGAACCGACGTTGCTAGTACCTTGCTGAGACGGTAACCCTCGCACTGTCCGCATCCGTCGGGCTCGAATGGCGTCGTTTCCGAGGAACGCCCTAGCTTTTATACGAGAATTCTGAGACGTAAAAGAGCATCTGATGCGACGTGGTGTTTTCTTCACCCGGCTTGTCGCTTGCTTCCTTTACTTTTTTTCTTCTCTCTCTTTTTTACTGCAATTTGCCATAACTGCAATCATGATTATTGCTACTTTTCTTACTTTGGGCGCCCCAGCTGATAAGCATGTAGAAATCATAAAGATTAGATTAGTGTTCCACTGACTATAAGAAAGTAAAAGATAACACAGCTCCATATCTGATCATTTTGGCTCAGACTTAAAAAATAAAATCGTGCCGAGATAAGCAACACCGCTTGAGTTCGGGCTCAATAGAGGGAGAGCAGAATGAGAAGCAAGAAAGTGCGCTTGATCTGAAAGACGTCCGCAGTGGCACATTGTCTTTGCATACAATTGGTCTGTAAATGCTCACTTTCGTTCAAAAGCATTTCAAAGTTCTCTGAAAGTTTACAATAAGAACATTGTGGTAATAGTCGAAGTGCCCTCAGTCTAAAGTCAATCAAAAGAATAAATTTAGTACGATACAATCAGGCAGTTCACTAAAGCGTTCATCAAATTGTATAAAAGGCTGGTGAGTACACAAGCAGCAGACAAGCCGATGCGCCTCTACATTTTCTTATTCCTTGTAAGTCTGAAGAATTTGATTTTCACGCTTTGAAATAGGTTTTTGTTCAGGTTCAGACAGGGACGGTGCTCTCGAAACAAAACAAAGGGAATGAACAAAATTGCGAAAATAAGATGTACGAGTACAACCTTCATACTTATAAGTGTGACATCGAGGATGGCGAATTTGATTCATCATACGCGGATCTTCTCAAGGATTATTTCACCAATAACTACAACATGGTTGGTCTGATGTCTGTGTGCGCTGCTATAACTTAAGTTTTAAGTTATAGCAGCGCATAAATGAGTTGATTAGCTGCCGTTCCATTTAGAGAAAAATATATGCGATGAAAACGTCGAACAACAGGCGTTTTCCTTCAATATTTTACTAAACAAGCAGGAGTAGAAATAGAATCCATATGAAGCTAGTATCATGGAGCTTTGATCTTTCAGTTTTGACACCGTAACTCGCAGAGATCAATACTTAACTCAAACCAAATCTTGCTTAGACTCCTTCATTTCCGTTAACACGTGTCTCCTGCGCTTTGGAGAATCATGTGAACATTCCGAAAGGTTGTGGTTTCACATTTTACACAGCCACTTTTCGGGGTCGGTAAGTTTTCAAATAAAAAAGACTTCTTCAACGATTTTGTGCAATTATACAGATTAACTCGAGAACAGAAATTACGTCAGTTGGCCGAAGGCATGAAACATGAGTTGGATGTGATAACGGTAAGTAGACGTTTTGATATACTAGGCTGTTGCATAAGTTCTGTCCGATTTGAATTTTTGAGTTTAAAATGTCATAACTTCTTTCAGAGTCAACTTTTTTCCAAGGTCTTAGTTTCTATGTGTTGAGCAGTCCCTTGGCTAAAAAATGCATATTGAGATCTGCGCAAATCTTTGTTAAGGAAGAACCAAGAATGCAAAAACTTCGCAGCGTTTTTCTTCGAATCTGTCTTTTTTGACATGGTAACGCTCCCTTATGAAAATTGATAAGCATCTTTTCTAATAATGGATGGATAGAGAAATTTTCGTAGATTATTATGCAACATAAAAGAGCCCATAGGGTTTGCGCTGCCGAGAGATTTTCTTGACCGAACAAAAAATTAGCCACTTTTTGACCTCGCTTCAGCACATGTGTGCATGCCTATTTATGAACTACGAACGTTTTACAACTGACGTGAGCGCCGAAAAGGAATTGGTGGATGGGCCCTGTTAGCTCTTGCTTTGCCCTAGCACCTCCAACTTCAAGTTTGTCGATTACTTCTATTCGCAGAAAGTTATTGCTTGTAAAACATCTATACCAAAGATTTATGTTCGAGGATAAATTTCACTAGCAAGACGTATTCTTCATGGGACCGAACTTCTGCATATACTAGCATTCCATACCCTTATTCCAAAGCCAATGAAAGAACCTGACTTGAAGGGCGCATTGTGGAGATATCCTCGCAAGGACATATTTCTAGGGATAGAACGTACCTCGGCCACTTAGAGATTTTAGGCCTGTGATCTCCGTACACTAAGAATTTTATTGAATTCTGGTATGCTTTAGAAAGCGCAAGGAAAGCACTTTTCAATGATACCAACCGTATCGAATTAGAGATGAAATTCTCTTAGAACAGCTGCTTCAAACAAGAGGCAAAAAAATCGGACAGAACTTATGCAACAGCCTAGTATATCCTTACAAATCACTGTACCCTTTCGCTTCAGTCAGCACCGTTTTGACATGAGTAAAAGCTTATTATGATAAGTAATTCATCAACCGCACGGATTATGCGACGTACGCTAAAACGCTGCTTTCTTCACAGCAAGCAAAAAACAGTCTTGATCTTTATACAGGGTGTTCCAAAAGTATGTATGCACTGTTTGATCGTTAATATCTCTCTTCCCAAGAAGACTTTTGCCTTGCTTTAGGTATCGTTTTGTAGAGCTGGCTTCAACTTAGATTGCATTATAAAAAGAATCACCCACCTCTTTTCGTTACTGTAGGATTACGGTAGAAACTTCAAAGAAGGTTTTGAGCAATGAAAGGCCATATTTTGCCTCAGAAAGGAAACAAAACAGCCTGAAAGCTTTTACACTAGGCTAATCAGAGTTGCTGATTCTAAATGTAAAGCTCCCAACTTATTATGATGCTTCATTAAAGAGTTATGCCGGGTGAGAGATAGCGACCATTTATTCAATGTTCCAAAAAAGTGCAGTTACACCGTTTAGAAAGCTTTGTAATCTTGTGAATAATTGAGTATTGAACTCAGCGTCCATAAAAACCCTATTACACAAGTTTTCACATTTTTTTGAAACATTTTGAATCGGCAGCTTTTTTCACATTGACACCACATGTTTCAAGTCCCTACCGTAATCCCACAGTAGTGAAAAGAGATGAATGATTCCTTCTATGATGGAAATCTAAGTTGAAGCCAGCTCTACAAAACGGTGGTTGATCAAGGCAAAAGACTTCTTGGGAAGAGAGATATTAACGATTAAAGAGTGCATACATACTTTTGGGACACCCTGTATATTGCACGTTCAATACTATTCTAGTGAACGCGCATCTAAACCAGTTTTTCGATCTGCTCAAAAGTCTACGTTACACCAAACTTTTTTTTTGCTAAAATTCACTGGATACAAATGCTGTAATCTAGCGTAATCGACGGAAACAAATTATTTCATTTCAGCGCAGAAAGCCAGGAGAAACTGTATCCTTTTTTCTTAATTGCTACGGGGGAACGCACAGAGTCACATGTGCCGCCAAAACTGATTCCAAAAAAAGAAACAAGGAAAAGTGCACTTCGCAGAAAAGACCTGGCCAAAAGACGCCCGAAGAAAGCCGCGCTGCGCCTACCGCTAAAGTAGCCTCAGGTGCAGCTGTCCCTCGCTCCAAGGAGAGAGAATCACTCAAACACAGCCCACCTGTCGATTCGCCCGGAAAGGGAGGACTCGTAGGGACCCCGGAAAAAGAACAACCCGGGCCGAGCCACTCTGCCGGGTCACCTGATGAGGGAGGACCACACAACCAGAGCATACCTGCCAGTCTTGGGGAAGGAAGACAAGGCGAACATAGTCGTCCACCTACCGCTTCCCTTATGGAAGAAGAACTGAGCTCACGGAGCCAGGTAAAAGCAGGTAGCCATCGCTCCTCGCCTCCCGGGCCTGAAATGGATGAAGCAGGCGAGCCTCCAGCTACAAAGGACGAAGGAGGAAGCCGTCATTCCCCAGGGGAGGGCTTGGAAGGCAGTTCTCTAACAGAAGCCTAGTAATGATGTCATCACCTTACCTGCACATTTTGGAATAAACGTGTTCCAAAAATACTCTAACAGCCAGCAATAATATAGTGAAGTGTAGGTTTCAACAAACTTGGCACATCTTGCAAACATCATCACTCATCACACATATTGGTTTACATATGTGATTAAAGGCAGTAAGTCGGCAGAATGAGACCCGTGGCAAAACATGGTCACAGGGTAGGAGCCCCATAATGGAACCTATGGGCTAAAGTTTGATCTTTCTCTGCCACTTCTAACCCCCGAAATTTCAAAGAGAAAGCAGCGCCCATCTCCTGTCCTCTCCGATCCCGCCCACCCCGTGGACGAGTGACTTCCGCGGCCAGAGCGCCAGCCGCAATGCTATAAGCATGAGGTCCCGCAACGACTCTGCGTCTTCGCCATGATGGGCTTCGCGTTCACTCGTCCATGTGGTGGGCGGGTTCGGAGAGGACAGGAGATGAGCGCTGCTTTCACTTTAAAATTTCGGGGTTAGAAGTGGCAGAGAACGATCGAAATTTGGCCCATAGGTTCCATTATGGGGGCCCCTACCCTATGACCTTGTTTTGCCACGGGTCTTATTCTGCCGATCTACTGCCTTTAAGCGGTAAGTTCCAACGTGTAACAACTTAAGGTAAAATTATATTTTTCGCTTGCAAAATGCGTCTGGCGGACATATGTCACATGCAAGTAGTTTTGGTCCAGTCTAAAAGATTTGCCGACAACACAGATCAGCTGTATTAGAGCCACCACTTAGTGTTTTGTATACGCTTCGTTAACTCTTTAGACTGCTTGCTTTAACAAAAGATGAGATAACAATCACATAAAGCAAAACTTTGACATCGAGAAATTATTTCAAATTATACCAATTTAATGTTAGTGAATCTGAAATTATGCATGTGATTGTACGAGCTAGAGCTGATCCATTTCTGGGCCACCTAATCTTTTCCAGAAGCAGCTGCAGATATTGATAAAGACTGCTGTTTTATTAGATTTGCAGCAAAGACCTTAGTGTATCTTCAAAACATTCCCATGACAAAGCCGAGATCTCGAAATGGACACGAAAAGCTGCACCAAAAGCATGCCGCCTTCGTCGGCTGTTTGCGCTTCAAGAAATTGTGCGATGATTGAAGCTTGTTGGCACTGGTCTTTTTTCAACAAAGATATATTGTTGATTTGTGTATTACCTTCTACCTCAGAACGTCCCGAAGTTCATGTCTGTCACGCAAATGATGACATACAAACACTTTGAGCACAACCGCCGCACCTGTTTCATTGACAGGTACCTAAACTGATCAACAGCTCAGTGTAATATGGCGCTAGACCGCCTATGGGATTTGGTCGTTTTTAAATCCTTTCAAAAAAGTTAGAAAAAACAATCGGAGATGTCCAAATAAGCATTACTATTAAGATTTACTCTGTCTGCTTAATCCGAATAAGCATTACTATTGAGGTTTACTTTATCTGCTTGCCTTGCGACCTCTTTTCCAAGCAAGCAGTTCGGCCGCATCACTGTGTCTCTCGAAAAGATCGCTCTCCCCTACTTTTTTTAGGTGAGGAGCAGCAACGCAAAGGGTCCTTTGGTAAATTATTTGATGTATTCGGCTGGTTCAGTTTAGAAAAAGCAGGTGCGTCTTGCACTCGCAGGATTAGGGTAAATTTATGCAAGATAAATCTGGAGTGAAACTATCAGTAAATGTTCGAGCAGCCGTCAAAATCAGTTTCAACCGCAGGAAAAAAGAAGAGCGCGTTGAATGTGGAGCCAAATGTTTGTCATCTTTTTTTGTACCCTTACAAACGAGTAAAAGCAGCGAAAGCTTTTCTTGCAATGCGTGGTTGTTTGGGATTGTGTTCTGATTAGGAAACTACACAGCTCCTTGATGTCCGAGTAAATTGTTTCTTCTTACTTGGTAAATTGATTTTGCAAAATCGTGCATATTTCTAATAATAGGAACCCTTTGAAACTACAAGCGCATGAGTAGACTGGCACCAGCGATTTGCTTGTTATGAACGTGCTATATAAGTTTTATGCTCACTCGATTCCACATAACAGCTTAGAGCTCGATTGTCAATTAATCTTGGCATAGTCCATATAACTTTGGTATGATATTTGAGCAGTGGCCAAGATTGATATCGATCTTTATTTCTCGGCTAACGTTTCGGAGTACAACTCCTTCTTCGGAGCCTGAAAGATCAAAAACTATGCAAAACTGTTCTTGTAAGCACTCAGTCACCTAACAGATACTGTTCAACACAAGGTAGTTGCAAGATGAAGACATAGACCGTAACTAAGCTAATGCTTACCTCAATAGCCAGCAATGGAGACTAAGAGCAGACCACCTGATAAATAGCGCCGTTACTGTGTACTGCTATACCACTATTTATACAGCCCAGATGACCTGACCTGACCCGGATCCGTAGGTCAAAAGCCACAAAGAGCTTGATACGGTGCTAATTCGGTCGTCACGGCAATGCACTCTTCTTTGCGGTTTATTTTTGGAGTTTTTGATGCTATCCAAAATGCCTCCAACGTTTTTCGCGCTACTGTATCACGCTCCTGCGATAAGATAGTGACAGCTACGTCATAGTGTTGATTGTCATGGCGTTGCCTGCGGTGGGCACCTAGAGGGGTAGACTATTTTGATTTTTCGAGCCCGTCTAGGTGCTCCTTGACCCGTACGCACAAGGGCCTGCCGGTTTCCCCTACATACTGATCTCAACATGTCTGGCACGTAATCAGATACACTACGCCAGACTCCATACAACCCTGCTTCCCAAATGGACAAATGACGCAATTCGGAATTGTACATAACCGGTCGTAGGCACGATTTCGTATAAGTTGTTTCTCAAGGTTAGGGGGTGGTATGTCTACGACTCTTACGTCATTTTCAAGCCCCGCGTGCTGCAGACTTTTCCTGATTGCTCTGCTAAATTCGTCGCAAATGAAGGGAACGCAAAAAGGAGTTTTTGGAGGCTGCTCAAGTGTGCGCGATCTACGGCCTGGCAAACAATTAGACTTGAACTGATTGCCTGTTATGGGGTAACCGTTAGATCGCGCAGTCTAGCGGTTTCACAGGCTTTATGACTTTGATATTTTCAATCTTTTCTGTCACAAATTCGCTCTCTAAAATGGTAGCAAAAAATACTTACCTCATTATATGCTACGGGAACTAAAACAGCTGTCATTCTATTGATAGAGAGTACGGTAGCAGCATAGAATTGTGCATGTCTAGAGTAGGTCATTATAAACTGAACAATGAAAATTTCCCAGGACGGTGTTCCCCAAGAGAATAGCAGTTCTTTACAAAAATATCCAATTTCTAGGAAGCGAGTGGTTGACATATCAAAGCACCACATCACAACCACATGCAAAGATTAATTTCAATTTTTAAATCTATCCAAATTGGAAACTTACTATTAAGGTATGATGTGTTAGTATGTGAGTAAGCCAGTCGAGGTTAGTAGGTCTTTATTGTTAGTGGCGGCCTAACGTTTCGATCAAATCGTCGTCTTCAGAGGCCTAAAGTGGTAAGAGATTTAGACTTAGTGTCTAACCCACCAAAACCTCCACCATCCTGGCCAACCTCGATTTCACCCCGGAGTCCCACAGACAAAAGTCCCAAACGTGAAAGACGAACTGACCTCCTCCACCGTCGGCGCGCGGATGTCAGGGCGGCCGTCCTTGGATGCCACTAGTACCTGTGCCAATGGAATACACTGTATACCATATTTGACTAATCACTAGTGGTCTTCAACTCGCATAACGTCACAAAAGGCATAAAGTCATTTGTAATTGACAAACACTCATTTCGGCCGTTCATGATTGGGTTTCTTGCATAGATCCAGAATGCCTCGAGAGCTTTTCTTGCAGCAGTGTCGTACTCGAATGCCAGTATTGTACATCTAATTTTGAAGTCATTACCACTGTGACATTCAACTCTATGTTTGCCAAGAGGAGTGGTAATACTTCCCTTCTTCTTGCTGGCAAGGTGTTCTTTTTATCCTTATACCCAACGGTCTCCCAGTCTCTCCGATACAGGTAGCACTGCATTCAATACATTCGATCTCGTAAATTACACCAGTCTTACCGCAGTCGCCAACTTTACCAGATGGACAGACCACGCAGTCTTGGACCCTGCGGTAGTTGTCATATAGTCTGTTACGAACTAGCCGCTTCCTGATGTTGTCACTTGGAATGTCAACCAAAATGACATCGTCTTTCAAATTCGCACGGTTAATGCATCGCCGCACTGCAGCACTAGTCGCGCCAGAAACGAAAGGAAGACAAAGAGGAATTTTCTGGTGGTGCTGGCTGCTATTGATGGAAGCGGATGGTCTAGCACGTCCTTTCTGGAGCGTGTAGCCATTCATTCGAGCAATTTCCAGCGCCTTTCTTTGTGATTCCTTCCGTTCTTCTTCTGCTGTGCACACGTTCGCTGCTGTTTTGAGCATGTTACGAATAACAGCTCTTTTTGTAGCGGATGGATGTGCTGATTGAGCATTTATCAAGATGTTCTTGGAACTTTCCTTACGATACCATTTTACATTCGCCGCGCCGTTGAACAGTCTGATCTGTACGTTGAGGTAAGGAAGCCAGCCATCTTTCGGTTGTTGTCGCGTAAACTTTATATACTCTGACTGTTGATTAAGCAGCCGAAAACACTCATCCATCTCGGATTGTGTTGATGTTATGACACAACAGTCATCTATATAACGACAGTACATAAGAGGTAAACGCGACAACACTGGTTCTTCTATTCTGCTCATAAAGCAGACCGCGAGTACTGGCGCAAGTCTCTGTCCCATTGCCAGACCTCTTATCTGAGTGTAGTATGTTCCTGACCATCTGAAGATGTTGCAAGAAAGGCATTCTCTGATCAGGAGCATAATCGATCGTTTACTCAGTCCGAAGGTCTGGATCTTTTTGCCAAAGCTGTCGAGCATTTCTAAAACTGCTTGTAACGCATCGTCATTTTGAACATTAGTGTATAAAG